TGTCAAAATCTCTCCTCATCTCCATCACTCTTTCTTTTTTCCTCAGTCTCTTCATCACTTTCTCTTCCCCTCCAAAGGCTTAGCTTTGTACTAAAGGCTACAATTTGTATTATATTCTCAATATGTATACATTAATCACAGATTTTTAGGGGGGCTAGGCAGAAGTTTAGGGGGCCGGCCGTCCCCTGCCATAGGAAATTGCGTATGACAGCAGCACTGAGTGCGCCTGTCTCTGGCTCAGCGCCAGCCAACGCGGGGAAGCACATTTGAATTTAGCAGTTCATCATGTGAAGCACTGACCGTTCTAATCACACCGGTGTGATCATATGCTCGAAGACTGATCACACTGGTACGTGCGAAAAAGTGACAATTTTGTAAACACTAGCCTAGTTTAGGTCATCTTTTCGACCACACTTTGAGAATTACTGTCCTAGAGTTTGTGAGAAAACTGCATGGGTAAACACAGATCTATGCTTTTCATTGGAAAGATTAACTGGTACAGTTGAACAGAAGCTGGATAAATTTGGAGACATCATTTACGCATATGGAAGTGAGAGGTTTGGTGTGGAAGAAAGGAAGGAAAATTAACTACTCCTGGGAATGTCTATACGGCAGCAAAATTCAAGGGTTAGTTAGAAAAAGGAGAGAGCTGAGGAAGCAATGGCATTTTAAAAGCATCTAGTGTTGAGCTAGAGAGATATTTGGAGGAAACACATACAGATGCAAAAAGGCATGAGCCTATGTCAATTCCATCAGACATCCAAACTATCAATTCACTAGAATACCAAATGGAGGTCTGTGCACGTAATTGTAAAGTTATAGCAGGCTGTGAGAAAGGCAAGGGCTTCATCATCTCCATGGCCAAATGGAGGTCCGTACAGAGTGTACAAGAGTGCTTCAGGAATTCTATGAATTCTGTGGAAATTGATAAAAGTAGCAAGGGAAAAAACAGGTTGTACCAAGAGCAGGCGCAGAACAGGTGGAGTCTTTATACCTAAAGAAAAAGATGCTATAAGCATCAGTCAGTTTCGTCCTATTTCACTATTAAATATTGAAGGTAAGATTTTCTGCAGATTATTGCTCAGAAATTGTCCACCTACCTATTAAAGAATGGCTTCATTGACACAAAAAGTGGGCACTCCAGGGTTCTCAGGATGCTTAGAACACATTAATGTTATCTGGCAACGAAATCAATCAGCTAAAAAGGAAGGAGCTCCATGTGACATTCCTGGATTTGGCAAATGCATATGGTTCAGTACCAATGTCTATAACAAATTTAGGGAAAGCCTACTTTGGAGATTTGCAATTTAGTTTCTCAACTCCAGAATTCAGCACTACATGGAAATGCTGGCAGGATGCACCATTTCTCCACTGGCTTTTACCATGGCAATGGAAGTAATCATTAGGGCATCAAGATGGGTGGTAGGAGGAAAGCGCTTGGCTACTGGGATGCGGCTACCACCAATCAGAGCATACGTGGATGACATGACAACCATAACTACAACAGTAGCCTGCAGTAGTCCGTTATTGTGTAAGTTAACCGTTAATATTGAATGGGCACAAATGCAATTTAAGCACTCTAAATCATGGAGCATCTTGATAGTTAAAGGAAAGGTAGAAGACAAAACATTCTTCATTAATGGTGAGACAATACCAACAGTTTCTGAGAATCCAGTGAAGAGTCTTTGGAGATGGTAAGATGGGGATCTAAAGGACACAGTTCTAGTGGGAGAAGTTAGATGACAAGCAGTGGAAGGGTTGAAGAGCATAAACAGCTGTGCTCTACCAGGCAAACTAAAAATCTGGAGCTCTATAGCTGAGGTTGCTGTGGCCACTGACTGTGAACGAGTTTTTTTTACAACAGTAGATAAGATGGAAGCGTTAATAAGTTCATACATTAGAAAATGGTTGGGAGTTCCATGCTGCCTCAGTAGAGTGGGACTTTATAGTAAACGATTATTGTAGCTGCCAGTCTCTGCTTTAACTGAGGATTTTAAGGGCGTCAAGGTCAGACTGGAAATTACCTTAGTAGAGTCATGCAACAAATGTGTAAGGGAGGCAGCACCTGTGTTAAAAACTGGTAGAAAGTGGTCAGCAAAGAAATCTGTAGTAGAGGCAAAGGCTGCTCTTCAAATTGGGGATATTGTGGGACAGGTACAGCATGGATTAGTATAGCTCCTCCTAAATGGCACAAGGCAGGCCCAGCTCAAAGGAGGAAGCTGGTAGTCAACGAGGTGCAAAAGCAGGAGGAGAGGATGAGGTGTATAAAGGCCATTTACCAGGCCAAGCAGGGAAAGTGGATGAGATGGGAGAGTGTGGAACAACGCAAGATGGGCTGTCAAGACCTTTGGTCAATGGAAGAGAGTAGGATCACTTATCACTTATTATTACCTTATCAGGTCAACATATGATGTCCTCCCATCACCACAGAACCTAAACCTCTGGGTAGGAGAGGATCCCTCTTGTCCTTTGTGTTCATCACCTGCCACATTAAGGCACATTTTGACAGGATGTAAGGTGGCTCTTTGCCAGGGTCAGTTTACTTGGCGCCATGACCAAGTACTGCAATGTTTGGCTTTAGCATTGGAAGGCAAGCATAACATGACCACTAAGTTGCCACCTGTTCTAGTAAAACATTACACACAGAAGACAAAATTCCTCCGCCCAACCACCAAGAAAAGGTGTTAAAAACAATTCTCGCCCAGGACAATTGGAAGCTGCTAGGGACTGGAAAATGCTGGCTGATCTTGATCTCAGCGGCTTATTTTTCCACCTGAGATTGCCACCACTAACCTCCGAATAGATATTGTTTTGTGGTCTGGATCAGCACGCATTGTTCAACTGATAGAGTTTACAGTGCCATGTAGGGTTGGGTACTGAAACTTGGTGCCAATAGGGAACCGGTTCTGACGTAAACGGTAGTAACCAGACCGAATAAGAATGAAAATTTCAATGCCTGATTTCGGTGCCTGAGTCTGTGGCATGAGGCGCACACATGCAGTCTCTCACTCTCTCCCTCTCCCTCTCCCTCTCCGATGTGCGCGCACTATACGGTTTATTGAAGCACTTGTTTGATCTGTCTTGCATGCGCGCTCTTGCTCGCTCGCTCTAGATACCGGGAGATTTGAACTAATTTGCGGTCACCCGCGAGCCGTTATCAATATGCGGGAGACTCCCGGAATGTCTGCTGATAACAAGGGGATTAATGAAGATGCCGAAGACAAAACGCTGCAAGGTTTGGCAGCATTTCATGTGTAAAATTACGCGTCAGAACGACTGTTTGAAGCCCATATAGAATCACGATTCGCGCCGCCTTGACGCTCACGTCATCTTATTGTAATAGGGCATCCATCATCTGCTCCTCAGATTTCTCTGGCGAAACAGGAAGCTTGTCGGCAGCGTGAGGAGTTTGGCAGTGAATGCAGCGTCTCGTTCCCTATTCAGAGAACATGGGTTACACAGAGACGTTCTCTTTCATATGTTTACTCAAAGCTGCATAGCTAAGACGCAGTGGGAACGAAATATCAAACTGGCTAAGAGCTTAACTAGTAAATGACCAGATAACTTACATGACTAGTTCAAGCAGACAAAACATGGGAACCTGTAGCCATGTCGATATTAGATTACCCTGGTAGTAATCTCTATTAATCTCCAGTATAATTACATTGTTTGATACAATATTGTTTTATTTGATATTGTAAATGTGAACTTTTATTTTATATTGGTTTATTTATTATTACCATATGTTACTTGTAATTATATTGTAAGTTAATATTGTGTCCAGTTTGGCCCTGTAAATAAAGGGGTATTATTATTTGACAAAGTGTGTGCGTGTTCGTTTTCTTAAGTACCGTTTCAAGAACCGTTTAGGCACCGGAACCGTTTAAAAAATACCGAGAAGGTACTGGTATCGGATAAAACCCAAATGATACCCAACCCTAGTGCCATGGGAGGATGCTGTAGATGAGGCATATCAGAGGAAGAAACTGTGTTATGCTCATCTGTCCACTGAAGCAGAACAGTGAGGATGGCGAGTCCAGGTTTATCCAGTGGAAGTGGGTTGTCGAGGATTTGTGGCACACTCTACAACCCGGTTCCTCAGAGACGTTGGATTCAGTGGCCAAGAGTTGCATCGCACAGTAAAGAAATGAAGTCAGCGCAAGTTCTACCAGGAAGACTCAATCGTTCATGTCATGTATTACCTTCTCAATTATCCAATCATATCCTAATAGCCAGTATAAAAAGGTGGTACTTACACATGTCGCTTCAACCACCTCCATCCTCCCCATCCACCACCAGACGGGACCTTTCCTTTATCTCCCTAACATTCACATGCCGGGTCCTCCCCTCCATCCTTCCCACCACCTCCAGATGGGCTCTCCTCTCTACCATGAAGATGCCAGGACGTTCTCTCCTACTTCCACCCCACCACCTGCGCCTCTGTCTTCGTCTTCAGGCAGGATATGCTAATACAGTCTCATCCCACGACGTCATACAACTGTCGCTTTTGTGGTTAATCATTAACCACTTTTTATGTTGTCTTTTCATTTTGAGTGAATCACCAGTGATTTTTATCTCTCAGAATGTACCAAACTGTTGATTTGGCCACTTCTTATGTTCCTGCTATCTCTCTGATAAATGTTATTTTCTGATTTATCTCTCCTGATTTATTTTATTTTTGAGGTCTAACAATGGCCTGTTTCACTTGCATGAGGAGCTCCGTTGACTGCATGATATGGGTTCACAGCAATAGCCTCCAAATGCAAATACTGCACTTAGAATCAACTCCAGACCCTTTACCTGCTTTATTGATGAATTAATTAAGGTATTGATAAAAGTATTGTAGTATTGATAAAATACTTTTGGTGGGGGTACTCAAGAGCTGTATTCCTAAACCCTTCCTCCAACATATACACACAATGTGAAAACTGAATGGTTTGACAAAAAAATCTTAAGAAAAATCTTCTATGACGGTGAAAACATTGGTGAACATTTCTCACCGGCCACTCTGCAATGTCATCAGGCCAAACATGGGGTCCTGATGAGGCTGGTTCCTCACACGTTCTGCTCCCAGCATGGATTGCAAAGAAAAAACAATAAAATAAAAGCAAAAAATGTTCATACAGAATGAGAGATCTTTCATTTAAATTTACCTTGGGTCCTGATGACAGACTGCACCTGAAGATCTTGGCATGTCTACATTCCATTTTATAAATGTTGCTAAAGTCTCCTGGACAAAGAAAAAAAGAAAAATGTATTTAGTAGTCATAATCCTATTAAAGAGAAAGCATCAAAATGAAGACATATTTTTACTTACAAATCACACTGAATGAAAAGTAATTAAAATTTATGTTTAGCTTGCTTCCTCTGGGTGGTAGACAAGTGCTTTGTTTGAAATTTTGACTGCGATTAATCTTCATTGGACACATAACTGCTTTGCTGTTTGTGTATTGTTTATTATTGTTTGTGAATGTATGTTTGTGTGTGTGTGTACAGTTGTACCGAGCAGTCGTCATTCTGGGTCTGCACACATCCAGATCCATCGTTCTGTACACAGCAGCCGGACTCTCTCTCTAGATCTTTGGTCTGCTCTGCTAGCTTCACTATTTGACTGTCTCGTCTGATGCATGGGGAGAACTTAGCTCCCAAGTGGATTAGATCCTCCTATGGAATAAAGAATACAGCAACAGTGAAGAGACCCACAAAGATGACCCATAATGAGTAACATTTCTTTAATGACTAACATTGCACAGCAGTAGAAGAGCTGAATATGTCAGTCTAACAATCACTGTCATTGTTCCAACATTAAAGAAATTTAAGCTTTCTATTAAAAGAGAGGCATAAATTCTCTTTCAATGACTAAGTAGCCAACACAAAGGTGATCCATCCATATTGTAAAACTACTTACATTTACATTTAGTCATTTAGCAGACGTTTTTATCCAAAGTGACCTAGTCGGGTTTCAATTATATAAGCATAATGGCTTTATGAAAGCATCAGAGCCATTTCAAGCATCTTGATAAATCTTTGTCAAATGAGGTAGTTTACAGTAGATACGTCTGAAATAGGCTTTTCTATTCATTGAATGTTATTAGTTACACAATTACTTATTTAAGCAAGAATTATTCAAAACTAGAAGGCTGACTGTAATGCCAGCTGAAGCAAAAATATAATGCACATCCTCATCATACGCCTCAGCCTAACCCCTTCGCTGTGCTCCTCCTCCTTAATTTTTCCCTGTGGAATCTTTTCGACTTGCAGACGATAATTCATAATATGACGTTGTAGCTGAGGAGAGGTAACTACCAGGCTAATGCTTATCGCTGTGATATGGAGTAGTATATGAATTTGTATTAATTAGCTGAATGAGAACATTTCATTTTCCAAGTCTAATTTACTTAGCACAGAATTGATTGATAATGTTAGCTTAGAAGATTTTATTATTTAGTAAAAAAGTAATTAAGCTAAATTTGTACACTATTATTTCCTCTGTGTGTGCCTTTGAGTTGACTATTGGAAGCCTGAAAAAAAAGCATGGAATGTTGCCATTGTATTCTGAGAAAGTCACATGGTACAAGACCCCAAAAATAATCTATAGGATGCATTACCATCTTTGGACAAGGATCTATGGTATTTATGTAAAAGCTGGACAATGATCGGGAGTGATCCCCTGCAGGAGATGCTCGGTTTTGTTTGTAAATAAAGTCTAATATTTCTGGCATCAAAGATCTCTGAGAAGTGATGGGTTCACTTTATTTTGATGGTCCCTTTCAGTTGACTATAAGTAACGATGTTGCACCAACATCTCTCCTAACTCTCACTAGTGTTAGTAGAGTATTAGTAGACTGGTAGGGTTAGGGATAGAATAAGTTGACAAAGAATACTAAGAATAAGTTGAATGTAGTTTCAAAGTTATTTATAGTCAGTAGAATGTCTGTTGGAGGAGCATCACAATAAAGAGTTAGCAGATATTAAGCAGACAGTCTACTAATACTCTAATGAGAGTTAGTTAACATGTAGTTGAAAAGTTACTTATAGTCAACAGAATGTTCAAAAGGGAGCATCAAAATAAAGTCTTTCTGAAGTGATTTCCCAAAAAAGAGAAGGAACCACAACATTAACTGCTAAAAGTATGCTTGCTTATCTCTTCTAATTTGGCATCATTTGTGGCTTTATTTGGTCATCATCAATTAAAGCTTTTTGAAGTGATTGGTTCATTTATTTAGCTCACAAAAATACTTGCTATAATGCTTTTATAATATATGTATTTTTAAAATATGTTCTGTTAGCTAGAAGTGATCTACTTATCTATGTATTTATTTTATTTATCCATACGGATATACAAACCTTCATTCCAAGGGGTGACAAAGAGAGAGAACAGTATTGTCAGTCAGGTGAGGGTTAGCGTGTTGCATTTGAATGATCTACATTTCACTGCAGAATTTCATTTAACTACCCCTCAAATAAATATTTTATAATCTGTAACTTACCTACAAACACAAGAAAAATCTCCAAGCTTTGGTAAAAAATGGAAAAGCATTTGTAGGAGCCAAATGTATTGATTCTTCAACCACTAGTCTGTACACCAGTAGTGTAGGTGTGGTCACCTGTTAATATCTCATGATATTTAAACCTCCCATGGGTTGTATCAGGAAGGGACAGGTGGAGGAAACATATGGTTCTTACCATAGAACCACTGCTTTTAAACTCTGTAAGATACCCTATACATTTCATTAAATAGACAACAAAGCATTTTGAAACAGATATCGCTGTGTGGAAATTGTTTATTCCAAACTATGCACAAAGAACATCTTACCACATTTCCCTAGCTTATAGGAAAGCCAGTACTAAAGTAAAGGCCAATTTATACTTCTGCGTCGAGGGTACGCCGTAGTGTACAGCGTTGGCTACGCACGTAGGCGACGCCGTTGTGAGCATTTATACTTCTGCGTTCAGGTCTTGGTTGCTCTGCAGTACTGCTCCGAAACGCTAGTTGGCGGCGGAGAGTTTTAATGTTCCACTGTGTTTAGATTCCTCGCGGCTAGGTTACTACGAGTGAAAGAGAGCTGATCATGTTGGAATTGGAGCTTATTAAGGTGGAAAAACAGTTCACTTTAGTGAAATTACTAAAACTGAAAGGCAGAAATGAGAGAAGACTTCGGAGGAGATGAAACTTGTGGAAATCATAGACAGTGGTGGAAATGCGTAGAAGGTACGTGCGGAAATGCGTAGGAGGAAATGCGATGCTACCAAGCCAACCAATCACCGATCTTGCGGTCCGCGTCGTCGCGACGTGTAGTTACATTTTTGAGGAGGTGCGCGTCAGGCGACGGCGAAGGGTACGCGGTATGGTACGCGTCTGTGCGTATGCTACGCCGTACCTACTGCGCGCACCCTACGCAGAAGTATAAATTGGCCTTTAGAACCATCTCGGGCTAGGATATTGTTTGGAATTTAGTTTTCTTGTGCATCGGAAGGTTTTGACTTGCACATATGGCAGAGTGAATGACTCTCAGTCTTGCTGTCCGAACAAGTGTTTATGCTTGATAATGTGGAGAAATCTTTGAAGCTCTACAAAATGCTGGTGAGTGACCTTCTTTGAGCGATATTGATCACATTTTGGGATGATGACATGAGACGAAGTATGAAGGTAAGTATTCAGGGTTTCAGGTGCTCAGAAGTGCTCTTGAAGGAGGATACGTGACAGGAATACATCCAGGTGAGTGAATCCTCCTCTTAGGAATTACATGAACGGTGACACAAGGCAATGACTTTCCTTTTCTCACTTTCAGATAGTCGTGGAGTAGACGGAGTACAGACAGGATTCCATGTGAGTAGATCCTTTTTCAATAGCAGGTCGGGAACTAACACAGTTCAGTGATACTTGCTTTTGATCCTTATAGATCATCCATTAGAGGGACGAGACTCATGGCAGAATCCAGGACACAGGGAACGAGAATCATGGAGCAGATCCTGGGAACATCAGAACAAGGACAGAGCGGTTCGTCTTTACAGGTAAGTATACTTTACATCTCAGCTCGGTGGATGTCTCAGAGGGAAGCAAGTGAAGGCTGGTTAGGGTCTTTTCCTTTTGGAGGCTTGACAATGAGTGACTGTGAACTTGGTGCTTTTATGCTGGCTGTGAAGGGCGTGCTGATTGGAAACAGGTGCAGGTGATTAGAACTCTGGGGAAAGTGATCGTTGCGTGGTGACTTGGGAGGACTCTGATTGGCTCCTGACATTACCCCCCCCCCTCCAGAGTCCGCGCCAGCGGACCTTGGACCTTGACGTCGTGGGGGTCTACCTCTGGGTCGTGGTGCAGGTTTCTCGGGATGCTGAGTATGGAATTCTAGAAGCAAACTGGGATCAAGAACATCATTCCGAGGTACCCAACTCCTCTCCTCTGGCCCATATCCTTCCCAGTCAATGAGATATTCGAGCTTACCCCCTCGACGTCGAGAGTCCAAGATCTCTTTAATCAGATAAATGGACTCTGGCTCAATGGGTGGTATAGGGGGGTTGTCCTCTGGTTCTACCTCTGTGACTGACTGGGGTACCGGTGGATGATAGGGCTTTAGGAGGGAAACATGAAACGTGGGGTGAATGCGATATTCTGGGGGTAACTGGAGCTGATACGTCACTGGATTAATTCGCTTTACGACCGGAAATGGTCCGATGTACTTGGGGTTCAACTTTCGACATGATTGGCGAAGTCTGATATCTCGAGTGGAAAGCCAGACGAGCTGTTCAGGCTGATACTCTGGATTGGGTCGGCGGTGTTTATCCGCAAACTGTTGCTGCCGGTTGACAGCTTGCCGGATATGGTGATCTGTCTGATCCCAGACCTGTTCACTCTCTTCAAACCACTTGTTAACTGCTGGTAGTTCTGAGGGTTCACCGGACCACGGGAATAACGGAGGTTGGTAGCCAAGGACGCACTGGAATGGAGTTAACTGAGTGGATGCCTGTCGAAGAGAATTCTGTGCGTATTCTGCCCAGATGAGGTACTTGCTCCAGATGTTCTGATTGGAGTGGCAGAATGTTCGCAGGAACCGACCGATGTCTTGAATTTTACGCTCTGTCTGTCCATTGGTTTGCGGATAATACCCTGAAGACAGACTCACTGTCACATTCATTAATGTGAAGAATGCTCGCCAGACTCGAGAAATGAACTGGGGTCCTCGATCGGAGACAATGTCCTCAGGGATACCGAAATTTCGAAAGACATGTTCCACCAACAATTCAGCGGTGTTAAAGGCTGTTGGCAGTCCTTTCAATGGGATTAACTTGCACGCCTTTGAGAAGCGATCGATGGCCACGAAGATAAAAGTATTCCCCTCGGAGACGGGAAGATCGGTGACAAAGTCTACACCGATGTGGGACCAAGGTCTATTCGGGACAGGAAGGGGTACTAATTTACCCACAGGCAGATTTCGTGGTACTTTGGAGATGGCACACGGGATACATCCTTGAATGAAGTTGGTGATATCTGATCGCATGGTGGACCACCAATATTTGACTTGTAGAGTGGCTAGAGTCTTGTTTACCCCTGGGTCTCCAGTGGCTACTGATGAGGGAGCTGATGAGATCAAAGAAGTTCGGAATTCCTCAGGCACATAGATCTTCTCAGGAGGACATCCGGGGACTCTGGGTTGTTGCTGGGA